TGCAGGGTAGGGCTGAGGATTTTGTGCAATTCCTGCATGATAAAGTCACTCAGATTCGGGATGGCTTGGACTCCGATTGGGTAGATTCAGATGGGGTGACGGAGGTGGGTTTTGAGAATGTTATCTGGGAGGGGTTTGACCTTGTGACTCCTGAGGATGTGGACAGGATTCTGGGTAGGCTTAGCACTGCCACATGTCTATTGGACCCATGTCCCTCCTGGTTGGTGCTGGCCTCCCGGGCGGTCACACGAGGCTGGCTCCAGGGGATTATTAACGCTTCATTGAGTGAGGGGTTCTTCCTTCCCTCCCTAAAAGAGGTGGTGGTGAGGGCCTTCCTCAAGAAGCCTTCCTTGGACCCGGCTGTATTAGCGAACTATCGTCCAGTCTCCAACCTTCACTTTGTGGCGAAGGTTGTTAAGAGTGTGGTGGTGCGACAACTTCCCCAGTACCTGGATGAAGCTGTCTATCTAGATCTGTACCAGTCGGGCTTCAGGCTGGGGTACAGCACAGAAATGGCATTGGTCGCATTGGTTGATGATCTCTGGAGGGCCTGGGACAGGGGTTGTTCCTCTGTCCTGGTCCTATTAGACCTCTCAGCGGCTTTTGATACCATCGACCATGGTATCATGCTGCGTCGATTGGAGGGGTTGGGAGTGGGGGCACCTTGTTGCGGTGGTTCTCCTCCTTCCTCTCTGACCATACGCAGTTTGTGTTGGCAGGGCGTCTGAGGTTGACCTCGAGGTGCCATGTTTGTGGGGTGCCGCAAGGGTCGCTCCTCTCGCCCCTTCTGTTCAACATTTATGTGAAGCCGCTGGGTGAGATCATCCGTGGTTTTGGGGTGAAGTGCCATCAGTATACTGATGATACTCAGCTGTACATCTCCACCCCGGGCCACCCCAATGATGCCTTTGACGTGATGTCCCGGTGCCTGGAGGCCATGCGGATCTGGATGGGGAGAAACAAGCTCAGACTCAACTCTTCCAAGACTGAGTGGCTGTGGTTTCCGGCGTCCCGATATAGCCAGCTAGCTCTATCGCTGACTATTGGGGGCGAGATCCTGACCTCCTCAGAGAGGGCTCGCAACTTGGGTGTTCTCCTGGATGCATGGCTGTCTTAAAAGACCATATGACGGCTGTGGCCAGGGGAGTTTTCTATCAGGTTCGCCTGATTTACCAGTTGTGTCCCTTTCTGGACCAGGACACCTTGCTCACCGTCACTCACGCCCTCGTCCCGTCCTGTCTGGACTACTGTAATGCTCTCTACATGGGGCTCCCTTTGAAGAGCACCTGGAGGCTCCAACTGGTCCAGAATGCAGCCGCGCGGGTAATTATGGGTGCGACACGGCGCACCCATGTAACACCTCTCCTGCACAAGCTGCACTGGCTCCCAGTGGTCTTCCGGATGCGATTCAAGGTGCTGGTTACCACCTTTAAAGCACTCCATGGCTTGGGACCTGGGTATGTACGAGATCGCCTTCTGCCACCGGTAGCCTCCCATCGGCCAATACGCTCCCACAGCGAGGGACTCCTCAGGGTGCTGTCGGCCAAACAATTCCGACTGGTGACACCCAGGGAGAGAGCCTTCTCTGTGGGGGCACCTGCCCCTGGAGGTTCATATGATCCCCGACCTTTGTACCTTTCGCCGTGCCTTTAAGACCCTGTTGTTCCAACAGGCCGGGCTGGCTTAGAATATGAATTTTAAATTGGGTTGTTTGTCAATTTTTAACTTTGTGGGCCAATTTTAATATATTCATTTTAAATTGTTTTTAAATTTTGTGACTTTATGTGTGTTTTAACATGGCTGTACACCACTCTGAGTCCTTCGGGAGAAGGGCGGTATAGAAATTTAATAAACTAAAGTAAACTAAACTAAACTATTTTTAAATGTGTAGCCCATATAAGGAGCAGCTTTTAAGACACAACAGCACAACTGAATAAGCTGTAAACCAAGTGTTTAGTGCTTGGTAGCAGTATTTTCTTAAGGCTTGCAAACAAGGAAATTAATTATATACAAATATATAAGTGAAGTACACTTTACTTCTGATTTTTTTTTCCTGTCATAATATATCTCTATGTATTGTTTTCTCTTGCAGAATTGCTACCCAAATGTGAACAAATGCAGTGTCAATACAAGTGTGCCATGTCCATGAACGAAACTAGATGTTATTGTGAGGAAGGATACGAAGTTGGCAGAGATGGAAAAACCTGCCAAGGTACAGTAACCATATTACAGCGGTGAAATCCCCCCGCTTCTATCTGGCTCGCTGAACTGGTAGCACCAGTGGCGGGAGGCTCCATCCACCCGCCGGGATGTCATTACATCCCTTTTTTCACCATCTGCACATGCGCAGAAGAGGCAGGCGTGTACGTAGTGCACGTGCACTCCCACATGCTCCCATTCGCGAACCGGTAGCGAAGGTAAGTGGATTTCACCACTGCCATATTATATTATTCCAAAACATTTTGCTCAGGAAAAATTGTAGGAAAATTTGCATTTAGTGAACTATACAGATTGGGGATGGTTGTGGTATTTAAACCTGATATCTGGAGAAGTTGCCCAATGCTTTTTCTATATTCTCTTGTCTTGTTCCCACCCACCCATCCATTTCTTCCCTGGGATCTCATTCAGAATGTTGCACATTTCTCGCCAGAACAAATCCTGATTCTTTCATTGTAAATGTTTACTGGCATGTAACATGCAACTAACATTCCTGCACTTTCCCCACATCACAACCATCTAGATTATATCAGTTGATACAGCCTAATTTACACTATAAGCCTTTTTATTCATAAATAGAGCTATGTCTTTCCTGTCAGTTATTCATCATCTCCACAATATCATACATACATATATACTTTTAAAATTGCAATCAATGATCTGCATTTACTTTACTCATATCTATTACAGCCTTTTCCTTTTTTAAAAAAGATACATAGATTATCTCTGTTTTCATTAGTTTCACTCCTCAGTTTTTCAGTTTTGCAATATTCTGTTCATATAACTTTACAATACAGATAGAGTTAGTATTCATTGTTGTGTTCCAAAGGTGCTTTCCCAAAAGACAAGTGGACTTTGTTTGTTTTTGCTTGAAGATATTTCCCTTCTTATCCAAGAAACTTCTTCAGTTCTGAAGATGACCTGAGAATCTTCAGAGATATTCATTGTTGTGCTACTGGTCATAGTTACCTTGGAGGGCAAGCATCAATCTTGCAAGATTGAAAGTATTTCTCTATTCCTTTCCTACTACTTTCCAGAAAACTAGAGAGAGTTCCTACTGAAATGCTTTCCATTCCATCCCCACTTCTTTTACATGCCAGTTGTCCCATCTGTGGCTCTCCTATAAACCTTTGCAACCTGTCAATGTTTGTACAGTTCGATCACTGTTCCACAAGTACAGTTGACCCTACTTTGGCGCTAAATATATGCATACTTTTCTATTCAAATTAATATTTCTAATCTAATAAAGAATGCAGAGAAGAACAAAGATGTTTAGGGGCTCAGAAGCTAAAACATATGAAGAACGGTTGCAGGAAATGGGTAGGTCTAGTTTAATGAAAGGAAGGACTAGTGTTCTAATCTCTAGGAACCTGCCACAAAGAAGAGTGGGTCAACCTATTCTCCAAAGCACCTGAAGGCAGGACCAGAAGCAATGGATAGAAACTAATCAAGGAGAGAACCAACCTAGAATTAAGGAAAAATTTTCTGACAGTTAGGACAATTAATCAGTGGAATGACTTGCCTTCAGAAGCTGTGGATGCTGGAAAGCTCATGGTTTTAAAGAAGAGTTTGGACAACCATTTGTCTGAAATGGTATGGGGTTTCCTGCTTGAGTAGGGGATTATACTAGAAGGAGATTGGACCAGTGGTGAAATGCAATTTTTTTTTGCTGCCGGTTCCGTGGGTGTGGCTTGATGGGCATGGCTTGGGGAGGGGTCATGTGACTGGGTGGGCATGGCTATTTTTTTTTTTACTTTTTAAAGCATTTTTTACTAAAAAATGCTTTTAAAAAGTTTTTAAAAAAGGTTCCAATGATCGCGCTGCACAGCTGATTGACAATCAGAGGCAATTAAAAAACAGAAAAATAACAAAATAACTTTAATATTGTAGACACCACCAACATCATGCCTTCATCATCCTGTCAAGGAGATAAAGTAGTGGTAAATACAGGATTGATTCCTGAGTAAAATTTAACCATTTTTCTTTCTTTCTTTTTTTTCAGATTTTAATGAATGTAATGTGTATGGACTCTGTAGCCAAACATGTCAAAATACTGATGGATCATACATTTGCAGCTGTGTGGAAGGATATCTCCTTCAACCAAACAAAAAGTCTTGCAAAGTGAAAAAAGGTAAGCAGCAATATATTGCTGGATTTATTTGCTGTGATTCTCTATTAAATATGTAGCTGACCACCAAGGGAACAAAATGCTGAACAATCTCTGAACCAGCACTATACTGTGTGCTTTTTAAAAAAAAAATTTTGTAAGTCCATTCTCTTTCATTCAAACTCAAGGCCTGAGGACCAGATCCAGCCCCTGAGATGATTAGATCTGGCCCACAGGGCCGACCTAAAAATATCAAAGGACTAGCCCATGGTGCCTCTGCCAGTCAAAATGGGCCATGTGGCCCTGCAGTTTTCAGTCTCCACAGCCTCCTGCAGTACTCTTCCAGCTAAAAATGGGCCACGTGGGGCACGCGTGGCCGGCAGAGTGCTGCAGGAGGCTTTGGAGGCCAAAAATGGGCCGTGGCAGGCCTCATGCACTCCCCTTGGTCCATTTTTGGCTGGCAGGGTACTGCAGGAGGCATCTCCACCCCCAGCCAGCCCACAGAGAACTACAATGCTGATCTGGCCCTTGAAGAAATCCAGTTTGACACCCCTGTTCTAATTGCCTTGATCTATATTTAGAAAACATGAACAGAATTTTGAAGTTGTTACAGATACAACAATTCTTGAAAAGAGAAAACCAGCACAACAAATAGATGCATAGAGCCTTTCCTATATTATTTTAAGGTTGGTTTTATAGTAATTTGAAACAATTTGAGAAAGATTAACTAAGACAGTAAACAGTTTTACTTGTTGAGATTCATACAATTTTCAGTTCTACTCTCCTGGATCTTATGTGATGCTTCTTCTTGTATCTTATCTATGGTACATAAAAATCAGAAAAGACTTTTCAGAATCTTTTCAAAGTTACAGTTTAGGATGACGCAAGTGCACATGTAGTCTTAACAAACACAAAGCATGTTTACTGCATTACAATTGCTGATTAACAAAATACCTATAATCTGCATCACATATAACTTACAGATGTCTGAATATGCTTTCTCCTTCACACACCTTATCCAAGTTCAATTCTTCATCAGTTTAACTACTTTGTGCATCTGGTGAAATGAGCTACAGTTCATGGAAGATTATTACTTTTAATAAAGTAATCTTCTAAATCCTACACATAGATGACTGTTCCTAACAATTACTTTAAAGTAAACAGAATGTTTTAAATTGCTTTGGATGCCAGAGGTGTCATTTTGCTCCTGGTAGCATTCAATGAGGGTTATGTATATTTTCATTAGTAGTAATCAATTAAACATTTAAAGGAATTGGTAAGCTTGCTTTAACAGAGCTGAAGGGAAAGAAAGAATATTCCTAATCAATATAACAGATTAATGTTTTTCTTGTGAAGTATTCATAATTGGCATGCATGAAATACACATATGTGATGTTTGTAATACAGATAATCTTCGACTTACAACCACTTGCTTAAGAGACCATTCAAAGTTACAACAGCTCTGAAAAAACCAACTCATGAGCAGTCCTCACATTTACACAGCACAGCATCCCCATGATCATGTGATCAAAATTCAAGCACTTGGCAACTGGCATGTACTATTGGGGGGGAGGGGTGGTAATTTGATTATTATTTGAAATCTGCTCAGGAAATCAATGAAGGAAGCCAGGTTCATTTAACGACCACATCATTCACTTAGCAACTGCAGTTATTCATTCAACAACTGTGGCAAAAAAAAAAAAATGATAAAATTGGGCACAACTCACTTAGCAACTGCCTTATTTAATAACATGGAACATAGAATAATAGAGTAGGAAGGGACCTTGGAGGTCTTCTAGTACAATTCCCTGCTCAAGCAGGAGACCCTATATCCATGATGGCGAACCTATGGCACGCGTGCCACAGATGGCACGTGGAGCCATATCGGTGGGCATGCAAGTGTTGCCCTAGCTCAGCTCCAGCGTGCATGTGCGTGCCGGCTAGCTGATTTTCAGGCCTTCCAGTCCCACTGGAAGTCAGGAAATGGGCCGTTTCCAGTCTGGAGGCCCTCCGGAGGGGGAGGCCATATTTGCCCTCCCCAGGCTCCAAGAAAGCCTCTGGAGCCTGGGAAGGGCAAAAAATGAGCCTACCAGGCCCAGCATAACATCACATGCCAAAAGCGGGGGGAGTGCAGGGGGGAGATTGTGTGTGTATGCGCGGGGTGCATTGAATTATGGATGTGGGCACATGCTCCCCCCGCTTTTGGTACGCGACAGTAAAAAGGTTAGCCATCACTGCCCTATACCATTCCAGACAAGCGGATGACCAATCTCCTTTTGAAAACCTCCGGTGATGGAACATCCACAACTTCTGAATGCAAGGCAATCCATTGGTTAAATGTTCTCACTGTTGGGAATTTTCTCCTTAGTTCTAGGTTGCTTCTTTCTTTGTTTAGTTTCCATCTTTTGTTTCTTGTCTTGCCTTCGGGTGCTTTGAAAAACAGGTTGACCCTCTCTTCTTTGTGGTAGCCCCTCAAATGTTGAAACACTGCTATCATGTCTCCCCTAGTCCTTCTTTTCACTACACTAGCCATACCTAATTCCTGCAATTTGACCACAGTTTTTCATATGTTTTAGTCTCCAGACCCCTGATAATCTTTGTTGCTCTTCTTTGAATTCTTTCCAAAATATCAACATCTTTTTTCTATTGTGGTGACCAAAATTAGATTCCGTATTCCAAGTGTGGACTTACTTTGGCTTTATAAAGCGGTATTAGTACTTCACGTAATATTGATTCTATCCCTCTGTTAATGCAGCCTAGAACTGGGTTGGCTTTTTTGGCAGCTGCAGCACACTGCTGACTCATATTAAAATGACTGTCTCCTAGGATTCCAAGATCTCTCTCACAGTTACTACTATTGAGCGAGGTACCACCTATGCTGTACCTGTGCATTTTGTTTTTCTTGCCTAAATGTAAAACCTTACTTTTTTCACCATTGAATTTCATTTTGTTAGTTAGCACCCAATGTTCAAATCTGTTAAGATCCTTCTGTATCTTAAGCCTATCTTCTGGAGTGTTGGCTATTCCTGCCAGCTTAGTTTCATCTGGTGCCAACTCTGGTCAAAAGTCTAGGACTAATTATAATTATGCCCACTTGCTCCCTTGCCCCTGTCAAAGGAAACTAAACCAGTAGCTCTAATAACATTTCTAAGAAGTAGAAATAATACTTGTGGAAACTGTCTAATTAAAACCAAATTACTAACTTACTTTACTTAATTATTTTTTATCAGAGAGAATGAGTGCAGTTTAGTTGAATTTTCCAGTGTTATAGGAATTTACTGCACTGAATTTGGGAAAATACAGTGAATATGGTATTAGGGAAATGTGATGGGTAGAATATGATTAAAGATATTGATTATCCCAGGAAATTAGGACTTGTTTAAAATTCATATTGATCCCCAAAGCATAGCAATAGTTTTGAATAAATCTGAGAGAAAGCCATACACCAAAAATCAATTTCATTTTTCTTCCTGTCATACCCACATGGCATTTTACTGATGTCATTGCTGGAACTATAATGAATAATTCACAATTAGTAATTAATAATAGAGAAGTGGTAATGCTCTTAATGCACTTTAACCCAGTGTTATTTAATGAAGACAGCAACAATAGTAATACAAATGTAGCTGAGATTTATTTCTGAGTAGGCATATATAAGATTGTGTGGCTACTCATACTAGACTAGCAGCAAAATGTCAGTAGGAGAAATAAATAAGGGAAGAGGCTCCCATATCAAATATTTCATAGTTAAGATGTCATTGAAATAGAGACAGGAAAATATGATGGCAAGCAGTTATTAAAGGTTTGTAGGCATTGCTGCATAATTCATAAAGGGCTAGGAAAAAAAAATTCAGTTTGAGCAGCTGGGTTCCCCCATACAAAATAACATATATAATCCCAAATGTGGTATTTGAACCATACAGCGTTGTTCTGTAACTGTGAGCAAAAAGAATGTGGCTATTATCTAGCAGGTTATTTAATTATGCCCTCATAAAACTTTAGATCTATCAAGAGTCCAACTTACTTAGAGTGATTGCTCAGATATGTACTTGTACAGGAGGTTTGCTTGAAGAAAATACAAATCAACTAATCTGTAAGCATGAATTTAGCCCAAGAAATACCAAGGAATGAGACAAAAAACGACAACAATTTAAGATTGGCCCACCTTTGCTGTCTTTGGTCGAAGAGGGAGGCAAGGAGAAATACAACAGGCTTTCAACAGTCTCCTATTGTAGCATAGATCAATAAAGTAGATGTCTCAAATTTCCTGTGGTGTCTGTTTCCTGACTTGGTCAACCTCAAAAGGATGGCATCGATCCTGAAGCTTGCCTGCTTTCTATTCGGACAGGCAGGGGACCTTGCTTCTGATCAAGAAGATGGCATCTGATCCTCAGAACACCCTGCTGTGCATTGAACAGCTTGCTGAGATATTATTACAACATCACCACCAAGAGGATTTATGAAAACAAATCTACCCAATCCCAGAGTTGCAATTAAAGCAGCATAAGCCGTGGTGGCGCAGTGGTTAGAATGCAGTACTGCAGGCTACTTCTGCAGGCTGCCAGCAGTTCGATCCTGACTGGCTCAAGGTTGATTCAGCCTTCCATCCTTCTGAGGTTGGTAAAATGAGGACCCAAATTGTTGGAGGCAATATGCTGACTCTGTAAACCACTTAGAGAAGGCTGTAAAGCACTGTGAAGCGGTATATAAGGGCTATTGCTATTTGATGCAAGCTTTGCCTCAGCCAGAAATAGCAGAGCAGCCAGCAACCCAGCCAATTTCTGTGTTTTCATGGGAGTTTGCCAGGGAAGCTCAGGGAAGCCCACGCTCAGTTCTTAACTATCATAATTGTTTATGGAAGGTCAAGTAGCAGGATTTCATAAAGAACTCACCAAAGTGAATTTTGTTTTGAGTTTTCGGGAACAAAACCCATTTTTCTTTTTCCTGGCTCCTTTTTCATAGTAGTTCTGAGTACAGTCGTTCCTTCCCTCGATACTCAGAATGATTCAGTCTCTGCTTTATTGAAATCCTCAATAAACGGAGTACAATATGTCTTAAATTTGTGCCATGGTATCCATAACAAACTGAAGTGATGTCAAAATGATGACACAATGTGATGATGTCATCACAAAAAATGTCACAATTGCATACTTGTACAACTGCCTAAGTTACAGTATTTGTGATACATAGGAGAGGGAGGAGAAGAGACCAACTTCGACCAGGTAGGGGATTTAATTTCAGAAGACAGTGTTGTGGATATACAGTAGTGGCCAAAATTGTGGAAACCTTTTGGGAAAAGTATATTTTCTAAAACTAGCTAATAACACCACTTTTTTTTTTTTGGAGTAGTACCATAAAATTACATATCAATGGAAAGATAATTTAATCAAGAATGTAATGCAATAACTTTTATGAAGGATTTGCTATTAGAATAGAAGTTACAGTATATAGAGCTTTCTCTGTGGCTGCTCCCACCCTCTGGAATCAATTTCCTCTGGGGCTCCGGGTGGCTCCTGACCTCCGCACCTTCCGCCGCGACTTAAAGACATGGTTGTTTAACCTGGACTGGGGGGGTTAACATGTATTTTAACACATTTTTATTTTGATATTTTATTGTGAGCCACCCTGAGTCCTACGGAGATAGGGCGGCATATAAATCAAATCAAATAAAAAGAAAAGAAAAGAAAAGAAAAAGAAAAGAAAAGAAAAGTGAAACACATAGAAAAAACGAGATATACAAAAATTATCACCATAGAAAAAATGAGATATACAAAAATTATCATGTCAGTTAATACGTAGTTGGGTAACCTTTAGCATGAATTATGTATGGCCTTACAATGTCTTTCCATGGAGTGAACCAAGTCTTTTAGTTCTGCAGCTGTTATAATGTGAAAACAAGATTGAATGATTGTTTCTATTAACTGGATTTTATTGCTGGGTCACTTCTGACTAACAAGTTTCTTTAGTCGGCTCCATAAATTTTCAATTGGGTTAAGGTCTCGGCTATTCCCAGGCCATTCCAATAGTGGAATATGATTATCTTGAAACTCCAAAAAAATAGAGGTGTTACTAGCCATCAAACCTCAAAAATATACTTTCCCCAAAAGGTTTCCACAATTTTGGCCACTACTATACATCATTTTTAGCTAGCTGTCAAGTTACATCTTCCATTGTAAACATTGAGATGTTCTTTGTCTGTGATCTGCCAAAAAGACCAAGCCCACATTCAAGAATAGACAGGCTAAGAGGTTGAGGTATGAAACAGGATGTAGATTGAGCAAATTCTATCTTTAAATACTGCTGTAAAGGGATTCCAATTCCTGCAGTGAATCCAGTTGTGTCCTCAAGGCCAGCAGCACCTGGAACTAGTCCACGGATCACAAATAGAATAAGCAAAATGGCACTTCTTCTCCCCCACCCCAAAACCTAATAGAAACAATAAGAGGGACTGTTCCTTGTTGGCAGAAGCAATGGAAAAACATTAGTGACAGAACCTACAACAGAGTTGGCAGAATCTTATTTCATTCCTGATTTAAACTGAACTGTGTGGCACAACATTAGCATTCTGTTAAAAAGTAGTTTTCTCCATTTTTTAAAAATACTTTTTTTGGGTGGGAAAGGACACTAAATCTGTGTTTTTAAGGAGCCTGCATAAATCCTGGGAAGTCCTTTGTAAGAGCAAAAGAGTAAAAATAATATATTTGTACTGATTTTAGACCATCCAAATAAAACTATATCCTAGTTCTGAAAATTCTTGAAATTTATCTCTGAATGTGGAGAAAAGAGTAGTTCTTCTTTTGATGGTGCAGAATAGAGAAGGGATCACTTGTTTCCAACTTTCCCTCTCTATTCTCTTGGTCTTATGTACATAAAAGAGTTACTGCTGGACTAACTACTTCCTTTGGGACTTGCCATGCTAATTATTCACAGTAATCTATTTAGTGGCTCTGGAAAGTTCTGTTTCTTTTGATAGATATATAATTTACATTGCAGTACCTCTTGCCTCTTGTTCATGTCTCTGTTTTTGCTTCCTGTTTGTGTCATTTTTGCAAGTCAAATACTTGTATGCTTGCTAAAGTTTACCAAATAAACATCAAGCTTTTTTTTTGTTTTTGTTTTGTTAGCTCTAATTAATTGTTTGCTTACTCTGATGTGGACACAGGGGTTGATTGAAAGTGCACTGGGAGTTAAATTGGAAATTACAGTAATTTTCCAACAGGAATTATGTTGTAAATATAGGGGGAAAGTAAAGAATAAATACAGTTCAAATGACAAATCTGAAAATAATTTACTTGACTGGGTTCATACATGACTAGTGTTAGGTCAAGGTTCCGATTAGGTCAATTAGCTAAATTTATCACATCCAGATCAGCAACAATCTGGATACACATATTCATTCATTCAGCATTGCCAAAAGCAATTAAAACAATAAAAAAGATGCCTATGAACCTTCTTTCCTTGGCAGAATCAGTGAAAAATCCATAATTATGCGGAGATTATAAAATAGCACAGTGGTGGCTAATCTTTTCAGAGTGTCCAAAGCGCACGCCCCCAAACCCCCAAAATGCAATGCATGTGTGGCCCTTGCACATGCATCCCGCCCCTGCACATGCACGTGCAGCCCCCCTGCACGCCCCTGCCCCCGCACATGCACATGCAGGCCCCCGCACGCAACCCACCCCCCATGCATGCATGCGTGTGGCCCCCGCCCATTCCTCTGTGCATACACCCATGCCTCCCACATGTGCCCCCCCAAACATGCACGCACAGCCCCCCACATCCCGTGCGCATGTGTGGCAGAGTTCTGATGACCAGCTGGCTGGCGGGAGATGTGCACACATGCTGGCGGAGCTGAACTGGGGCAATTGATTGTGTGCCCACAGAGAGGGCACTGCATGCCACCTGTGGCACGTGTGCCATAGGTTCTCCATTATGGACCTAGCAGAAGCATACTGTCTATTGCAGTTTAAATGGACTTTCTGTGCAGTAGAATCTTCAGAAATTCTTTAGGAAATGTTGAGGATACTTAAGATACTGAGGAAGTTAAGATCACCAGATCTACTACTCATTTCCCCTTCTATATTGTGGACCACCTGCAGCCAGCAACAACATCGCATCGCCCGGTTCGTGCCCATAGGGAGGGCCTCCTCAGGGTGCCGTCAGCGAGACAATGTTGGCTGGCGGCCCCCAGGGGGAGAGCCTTCTCTGTAGGTGTGCCCACCCTCTGGAATCAACTTCCCTTGGGGCTTCGGCTGGCCCCTGACCTTCGCACCTTTCACCGCAAATTAAAAACTTGGCTATTTGAGTTCCCCGGCCTGGACTGATGGGGTTTTTTACGGGTTTTAACTGTATTTGTTTAATTAGGCATTTTAACTTGCATTGGATTGTGGTTTTATTGTTGTGATCCGCCCTGAGTCCGTTGGAGATAGGGCGGCATATAAGCCTAATAAAATAAATAAATAAATAAAATAAATATATGTTATGGCTGATCAGATATTTGAACTTTTAGGGGCTTATAGTATGAAATAAGAACATTCTCCAAGACATAGCAACCAGAGTTTGAAAATTGTTTTTCTGGAATATGTGAGGCCATGATTTCATATTCTGACAGATCATTTGTGTAGCATGTTGTTTGTTTGTTTGTTTGTTTATTCATGTCAGACGCATCACAGTTAAAATAAGGCATATTATGTGACATAATTTAAAATTTAAAACACAAGATTAAAACATGTGCAAATTAAGCAGATCTTGCCCAGAAAGTAGCAACATTAATTGTGTTCTGTCGCGTTGCCATGAGGTCTTCAAGTGTACACTGATCAGGGCACAAAGGGCAGTTATACATATGTGTTGTTTTCTGCACATCACCACAATTGCAAAAATCAGAAACCACTGAATAGCTCCATTTGTTCAGAATGTCCCTGAATATTGTTGTATTCAACTATTTCCATACTTCCAGTTTTCGTCAAACCCAGATCCTCCATTGGTTCCATCCAGTGTTGGTTCTTTGTAGCTTTCCATAGGTCCACTCTGCTTTCAAATTCTTCAAAGTCTTACATTGACATAGGAAGTTTTCCCTGGATTTTAATTTCTGATGAACTAGTTGTAGGCCATAGAGAGGGTGTTGTCTAGATATTGATGGTTTGAGCTTCTCTCTGTATGCTGCTTCTTCTCTGCAAATAGGAGGGTTGGCAGTGCTGGCTAGATGCTAGATTTTATCTAAAGGGGTAGGTTTAAGCCATCCGGTAATAATTCTGCTAGCTTCATTGAGAGCAACCTCTACTTTCCATGCATGTGCTGATTTATACCAGATTGGGCAGGTGTACTTGCCTGACGAGTAACAAAAAGCTACAGTTGTTGTCTTAAGGGCCCTTGGTTTGGCATCCCAGGTAGAGCTCATTAATTTCTTGAGGATGTTATTTTGTCCACTGACCTTTATTTTAGTGTTGGTTTATTTTAATGTTGGCATTTTAGTATAACACATTCTTTTCTTTTCTTCTTTTAAGAGTTTAATAGAACCCTCGTCAAACACAAGTGTAGAAGTCTTTATTAAGGGAGCAAGTTATTTTAACTGATTTATGTAAATGTTGCAAAAGTGGGTAGGTTATTTTGACTGGTTAATTAACCTTTCTTTCTTTGGCCTCTCCTTTTGTTTTTAGAACCTAATGATCTTCCACCTCTACTGTTGATTGCAAACTCAGACACTATTGATGTCCTATATGTAAATGGAACCAGAACATCCATCTTTGGATTTTTGAGAGGAAGTGGAATTCAGACGCTGGATTATATACACCATAAGAACACAATCTGTTGGATGGAATCAAGAGATTCTTCAACTCAGTTAAAATGCGTTGAGGCATCAAAAACTGGAAAGCTGACTGACGAATGGATAATTAGTACCATTCCTAATCTTCATAGTAAGTATTGTAAATCTGAAAAAGTGATATTTTTCTAGCAAAATTATAAGAATGTTTTATAGATTAATGGCATTTTATTAATGCATGAATAAAATAGAACATTTTTTTTAGCAT